TAATTACCGGGGGAACATAAGCACCGTCAAGTTTCTTCATTTCACTTAAACGTTTCTCAACCACTGGTGTAATCTTTTGTTTAATGATTTTTCTATGATATTTGAAGGGATTACTTGGATAACGAAACAACATTCTAAAAATGAATAAAGTTAATTTTAGATAATTGTGGCTAGATAAGAACTTTTAAGATCATGCATAGTTTACTTACAATATAAATTCCCTGTGCAAGTTAGGATGAATGAAATTTAAAATAGGTGGAATTTTTATGTATGAACCAATATCCTTTATAGCATAAGCGAATGAATTTATCAACTCTTTATCATCAGATAATTCTTCGGCCACAGATGCGGCAACCGGTTTTGCGATAATGAATTGGAAGGATTTTAAAGGGGGTTGTAAAACTAATAAATGATGAAAAGCATTATTATAAGAATTAAAAATAAAACATAATAATCTTGGACATCTTGGACTTCCTTTCTTACCTTTACCGTCTCCGATTATTTCGTCAATAGATTTAAGTAATTGTCTTTGAACTCGATTCGTATAGTATTTTAAATCTCCTGTTAAATTTTTTTGAATTACCATAACCAATTCGTTTGGGCGATGCTTTAAGCTATGCAAAGGTAAAAACTTATCATGCGAAATTCACGTGATTTTTTTTGTTAAATGATGGGGATGATTGTTAGGAAAATTAGGCTTTGTGATCTTTAATTTATAAATACCTCTTCGTTTGATTCACTGAAAGAAAAATCTTTGTGATTTTTGAAGATTTCAGAAGAAAATTCACCGCCAACTAAGGTTATAATTTTACCAAAGACATATATAGAAAAGATTTCTCCGTACTTTTCATAACATTCTTTAATAAATTTTTCATTGTCTTTATAATAATCAATAGTATGTCCAATAATTGGATATTTATAATACACAAGAGGGGGTTCATTCTAAATAATCAAAAAGATCATTTTTTTTTAACAATTTAAATTTACGGGAATTATTATACATTACATTATAAATCTTTAAATCTCGATTTACCAATTTTATTTGTCGTTCCCTACGCATTGAAATAAATAAAATCGAACAGATTAAGGATCCAAAAACAAGTTCAAAATAAGAGAATTCCATTTTTTTTTATGATTATGATATTTACCACAATTACCACATATTATATACGCATGGAGTGATTTACAATCGGGTTAGCAACTTTTTTTTTTAAATAAATAAAATTTTCATGTGGCAATAATTTCAAACCACCAATTGTTTTACCCGGATTTATTATATCCCGGTTTCTTGGTTAATCCGGATTTATTAATAACCGGACTGCGAAGATAAAATATGCAACGAAAGTTTGTAAAAATTTATTTATTTTTTTTAATCCAAAATTTGATATATGAAGAATTAGAGAAAAATATGAAAAACTTAGCGACTTGCCATATAATCTTTTCTATTAAGTTGTAAATTTTTATCAGAGCGATCGGATTTAATTTTTTGAAATCTTGCCGATTTGCATACCTACAATATAATAAATTGCAAATTTTGTATCAGGAAGGTCAAACGCAAGGTATTACAAAAATATGCTTTTGCATATTAAGAAACAAAATCATGCAATGTCTGAAATTGAAATTCCAATTTCAGACCAATCACAATATTCCAATTTTTTTTTTTTTTACAATTTCGTATAATCACTGAATTATAATATTTAAATCAAGAAGATAACATTTGATTTCGTGGTTTATTAAAGTTAATAGGATTTAAATTTCGGACACTTATTATTTATTTATTTATTTATTTATTTTAAGGATGTTCTAGGTTTTAGGATTTTTGATCGAATTCGGGCTGATGCGTAACGTAGGGTTTTCTTTCTTTATTTTCGATTTTATTTTTTTTGACTTTCTAGTTTTAAAATTATAATGCATGTAATATGTTATTTTTATTTTATATATTTTTTTTATTTAAATGAAGATTTTCTTTTTTTATTTTATTTTGTTTAATTTTTTTCTCAATTTTATTTTCGTCCAGATTTTTTGATTACATCGGGTGCTACGTCAGTTAATAAGTGTGTTTTTTTTTATTTATTTAATTTTGTTTTTATCTTTCTTTTTTTTAGGTTTTTTTTTTAAACTTAAGACCGAAGTGATCCAACCCAATATGTCAGTAAAAAAGGGGAAATCTGAAATTTTTGCTTATTTTAGTTTTATTTCAAAATTTAGATTTCCCCTTTTACTACTGACTGCCGCCCATTCAATTTTTTTTTTCTTTTTAATTATTTTATTACATTAGGAATCAAATAAAAAGGAACACTATCTTTACAATCTAATTTTGTAATTATTCTATTTTAAAGCCAAGAGACGAACTTTAAAATAAAGAATAAAAAAAATAAAAATTAGTGATTACTTATAGAAATGTTAAATTTATTTGGTTGGCTGGGTTTTTGTCTATTTGTAATTAATAATTCTTATTATATCATTCATTAGTTTAATCAAAGATAAGGTTATAAAGAGAAGAATTGTAAATTTGTTTTAACTTTATATAGAGAAATAATCGTTAGTTTTTTTTATTTTCATTCAAAGCAACCAAGAAAAATAAATAAAAAAACAGTTAAAAGAAACAAATATGTTAATTAAAATAAATTGCATGTAGATAATATTTCTTTAATTTTAATTTAATAAATACATAAATCATCTAAAATTAAAATTTTATCCAAAAGTTCAATTTCAAATGAGAAAGGTGTGTTAACATAAATCATTTAAATTATTTCAAAATTTAAACATTTACATTAGAATATATTTATCATCTTCAAAATAAGTAAGTTTAATTTATTAGGACTTAGTAAAATTTTTTATAAATGTATAAAAAACTAGATTAAATATATTTTAAAACCATTTTTACAATAATTTAAGTTTGGATTTTATAAATATTAAAAACTATTTTCATTATTTTCTAATAGTTAAATTTTTTCATGAAATGAATTATAATAGCTAATTTTGATTATGTTAAACTTTAATAGTAAATATAAAAGAAAATTTATTTAAATAAGTAAAATTATAATAAAAATTTGCAATTATATCAATATTTTATTTCTTATATTTCAGTTAAGTAATAAAAACTTTTAAAAAAAAAATCATTAAAATTAATTATTTACATGATATATAAATCAAGTGGTTTAAATATTATATGATTTTCAAATTACTTTTTTTTTAATTTTCTTTAAAAGTTTTTATCATATTTTATTTACATCATTATTAAAATAAAATAAAATGCGAAATACTATTAATTCAAATGAATAGATAATTGAATTGAAGAAATCATTTTTAAACAGCATATTAAATATTAAAAATATAACAATTTTAGTAATATAGTTTTAAAACCTTTAAAATAGTTTATTATATAAATAAAATTAATTATAAATAAGCTTTTGCATTAAATCTTTTTTAATCTTGATAATATCATTGACAAAGAAATTATTTGTGAGGTAATTATAAGTTAAAACTAGGAATGCTAATAGTTATGATTATAATTAGTTATAGTCAGTTATAACTAAAACTAATTTTGATCAGTCAAAAGTTTTTGATCAACCAGTTGACTGACTGATTTTGACCAGTTTTAGCTGATTGGTTGACTAACTTGAAATTAAACAACCATATTTTAATATAAAAACACTTTATATTAAATTAACAAAATTAACATTATATTACAAATGTATCATTGAATTCAATATTAATTTAACGTAAATTTAAAAATTTTAATGCAATCATTTTAATTATTTATAAATTAAAAATTTTGAAATTTTAAAAAAAAATTAAAAAATCCATAACAATACTACATCATTAAATAAAAATGATAAAGTAATTTTAAAAAATGCTATAAATTATTAATGTTTAAATAAGAATTAAATTATAATATTAAAACTTTTATTTGTTCAATTAGTCAATTGATCAATTAAAATCAGTCAGTTAACTAGTCAGTCAGTCAATAATCTTTAACTGATCATTGACTAACTATAACTAACCATTATTATCCCTAGTTAAAATATATATTTTGATTTATTTTACATAAAATTATATAATATTTATGTATATTTTTATAATTCAATTTGAAATTTAATATGAAATTGATTATAACTATATTATTTATTTTTATGAAATCATAATTTCAAATTAAAACATAAATTATTTTAATATTAAAATATTATAAATTTATATATTGACTTATTTTTAAAATTAAATGAATAATTAAAAAAAATTTTATTGGTGATAAAGTATACTGAAAGAAATATATTTTAATATTAATTGAAAAATTATAATACCTTAGTTGAAATGATAAATATAAATTAGAATACTAATTAACTTATATTATATTATATTTATATAATAAACAAATTATATATCTTAATTTAATAGTGTATATATATTATCTTATTAATTTTCTTATCTTTATTATAATAATGATATATTTGACAATACTATAATAATATTTTGATTTATCAAAATAATATTAAACTGATAAATTATAAAAATTAATATCATAATTTTAGTTTGATAATAAAAGTTTTTAAAGGTTTTAAAGAAATAATAATTTCTAATATACTTGAATATTATAGAAAAATTATAATGATAAATATAATATTTATCTAATTTATAAAATATATTATTTATTATTTAATATATTTTTTTTTTTTATTTTAGAATGTTAAAATATAATTATTGACAAAACTTTAAACAGATTAATTCAGATCTAATCAATTAAGTTACTTAAACTAAAAGAATCAGATTAGTTCAAATAAAAATCTAACCTGATTTTAATTTTTATTTAACTTGATCTAAAAATCATTCTAATTGAATGATAATGAACCATTCAAGAAAAATAATAATCAAATTATTTTAATTAAATAATAATAAATTATTTAAAAAGAATAATAATTAATTTATTTTAATTAAATAATAATGAATTATTCAAAAAGAATAATAACTAAATTATGAGTTATTTTAATTGAATAATTATAAATTGTTCAAGAAAAATAATAATTGAATTATTTTAATTAATTAATAATGAATCATTCTAATTAAATAATAATAAATTATTTAATAATTAATTATTATTTAAGAATTAGTTAACCTAAATTTTGTCAAATCAGTCAAATTAGATAACCTATTAATCTGACCTAACATTAATCTAAAATTTATTGATTTAATCTGGATTTTTAAATCAGATCAAGTCAGATAAATAGACTGACATGATCTAATTTAAAACTTTATACCTATATTAGGTAGTTCTAATTTAAAAACAATTATTGTAAAATGAGTAAATTATCAAATTATCAAATTACAATTATTAAATGAATAATATAAGTTAAATAATTCAAATAAATATAATGCAACTAATTTTTAAATGCTAAATTAATATATAAAGATTTATTTAAATTTATTTAAAATTTTAAATAAATGAATATAAATATTAAATTTTCAGATATAATTAGAGTTTCAAATGAGTCAAGTTGAGTCGAGTTTAAAGATTAACTCTATTTAACTCATTTTTTTTCAAGTTGAGTCAATTCAAATTTATTTTATAAAATCTTTTAACTTGATTTAATTCAAGTTATATAAATTTTAAATTCAACTCAATTTGACTCAACTTGATTTTAACTCAACTTGATTTTGACTTGAATTTATTCAAGTCAAATCAAGTACAAATTAAATTATGAGTTAATTTTAAATCAATTTATAAACATTTATATAAAAAAATTATAATCACCCATTATTCATGAAAATGAAAGATCCACTCCTAAAAAAGAAAGTAAATTAAATAAAAAAATAATAAAAAAGTAAAAATTAAATTAAAAAATGAAAACATCAGAAAAAAGAAAAAAGAAAAAATAAATAAATAAAATTAACATTAAGAATCAAAAAAAATTAAAAAAAATTTAATTAAAAATGAAATAGAAATAAATTAAAAATATAAAAAAAAGATCAAGAAAAGGAGAAGAAGAAGGAAAAGAGAAAGGAAATAATAAAAAATTAAAAAACGAAAGCAAATTCAAAAAAACAATTTATAAAAATAAATAAAAGAAAAGATTAGAGAGGAAAAAAAAATAAAAATAAATTAAAAAATTAAAAAAATAAAAAAACAAAAGCTAAATCGAAAAAAAATTTTTTTAAAGAAAAAAAGATAAATCAAATGCCTTATTTGATAAAGGTTTTTCCTCTCGCTATATAGTAGATAAGAAAATGGTTTTCAATCAACTGTTATAAGAACTAAGCAATATAAAATAAAATTAATAACAATAGAAATAAACCTAAATCTGAATGTCTGTGACTCTTAATTGGTCAATATAAATGAAAAGTTTTGAGATTAATTATAATAGGTAAATGTAGCAATGCTGTTGCAATTCAAAAAAAATTAAAAATAGAAGAACAAATTGAAGTTAGTAAATGTACAGTAAAGAGAACCTTATATAGAAATAGAATAAGTACAAGGATTAAGTGCAAAAACTATATCTTTAAAAAACACATAGATGAAATTTGTAAAAAAATACAAGTTATGGACAGTTGAAGATTAGAGTAAAGTGGTTTAGTCAGATGAGTCAAAATTTATGATATATGGATCAGATAGTAGAGAGTATTATTAGAAAAAGCCAGAAGAATTATTATACAATCATCATGTTAAACTAATGGTCAAATTTAGATGGAGTAATATTATGGTGTAGGGATGTTTTATATCTGATAGGATTTGTAATATATGCTGATTTTATGGACATATAAATGGTGATTTATATTGCTAAATTTTAAAGGAAGACCTATTAAGAATCATTGTGTGATATGAATGGATAAAAAAAATAATATTTTCAATAGAATAATGATTTTAAACATACTGTACATCTTACAAAGTAATAGTTTGAAGATAATAGGATTAAAGTTTTTAATTGGCCAGCACAATCCCCTGACTTAAATCCTATAGAACACCTTTAAAATGAAATAGATCATCATCTGAGATAACTTGAAACACCTGTTAGAACACAGAATCAGTTATGAGATGCAATTCAAAAAATTTGGGTTGAGTTAGAATTCAATATATACAAAAAATTGGTTGATACTATACTAATTCATATCAATGATATAATTAGAGCTAATAGCAGTTATATAAAGTAGTAAATAATTATTTATCAAAGTTTTTAATAAGTTGATTAGATTTTTGATTTTTTTTTATATACTTAAAAAATTTAATAAAAAAACGATCAAAAGAAAAGAATTGTCTAATTGTTCAAAAATAAATATTTTTTAAAAATTTATCTCATTACTATAAATTGATTTTCATATATTAAATAGACTTAGTTATAATAAGTCTAATAAATAATTTATATGACATTGCGCTATCTTAATCACAAAAAAATGCCATTTTAAAATTTGTATTCAGATAATGCAATACTTTTAAGCATCACTGTACATACTGTGATGATCAATATAATTAATATAATATAGTAAAATAGTTTTAATAAATAAATTAAATAATATAAATGCATTTTGATATTATCACATGATTTTTTAATCCACTTTTTTGAAATAATATATTAATATTTATATAGCATATATATGATCATATTTTACTTTCACTTTCAAGATAGTTAATATTATATAAAAATTGTATAATAGTACTTTGTTTTATTTTATAAAATAAAATATTATCACAACTGCTAATATTATAAATTAATAAATGGTATATTAGTATAAACTGATTTCTTAATGCTAATTAATTTAATAGTGCAAACTGGTTTTATTTAAAAAATTGGTTATCAGATTATTCAAAAATAAATTTTTGATTGATATTTACTCAAAATAGGTTAAAACTAAAACTAGAACTCAACTTTGAAACTCTAACAAAATAAATAATTAAGCTACTAAAATTTCTTATTTTTGTATAATATTAATTAAAATTAAAATTTAGAAATAATTAACAAAAATTTAAAAATAATTAACATTATTATTAAAGTTAAAAAAATTTCATAAAGCCTTTCTGATCATGTGTAATATATCTTGATACTAGGTAAAGATAATAGTGATCTAGATATAGTATTAATAAATACAGAGAAAATTAACAAAAGTATCTGTGACTGAAAGTAATCACTCTATCCAAATTTAATCGTAATTCTGAAGTTTAGATTAGCTCTTAAGAGTTAACTTAGATGGCAAACTTTAGACTAGTATCAACAGGCAGGTTCTGATTAGAACTTGTGTCTAATTATAATCTTTAAGGTCTTAAGATTTAAGTGTAATGTGAGGTTACTTTAAGTAATCTCTAAGAGCATCATTAACAATTATTATATAGATTTTAAGTATTTAGTTACTAAAAAAATAAGAAAAATATTTCAGATCTTTATAAAATTCAAAATTTTTTTAATTATTATTAATAGTTGAATTAAGAGAGATGTATAAGAGATATTTAATACTTTAGCAAATATTTTTTTTTAAAATAAATAATAAATATATAATTTTATTTTAAAAATTGAATTTTCTTGTAAGATGATTTTGATAAAAAATCTTAAGTATTACAAATTAAATTCAAGTATTATAAAAATTAGTCTTATAAAATAATTTTAATAATAATAAATTTTAGCATAATCTTATTAATTAATTTGACTTAATATTTAAAAATAGAATAATTTATATTGTTAAAATATTCATTGTAATATAATATTTTTAATCATCATTTATTCAAAATCAATTTCTTATTTTATAAGTGATTTTAATAACTTAGTTTCCATATGTTGATAAGCAAAAAAAATTTGAATTATTTGCAAAGGTTACCAATGATAGTAATATTATTACTATGTATAATCTTAATATTTATTATAAAAATTTAGTAGATATTTATATAAATTATAAAGCTTTTGAAAAATCTGCAAAAGGAAATTATTTAGATAGAACTTAGAATTTAAAATTTAAGAATTTGTTATTATAATATTATTAGATTAATGTTTATAAAAAAAATGCATTTATAATCTTTATAAATGCTATAAATAATAGTAATATTATTGTTATTTATAACCTTAGTATTTATTATCAAAATTTTAATGGTGTTAATATTGATTATAATAATATTTTTAAAAAATTAGCAGATAGAAACTATTTAATTTGAATATTAAATTTATGATATTGTTATCATAAAGTGCTCAGTACTAATATCAATATAAAAATCTGCAAATTTAAAAATTAATGAGACTTATTATTTTCTTTGCTTTTATATATAAAATTAAAAATGAGATTGAAATAAATATAAATAAAGCAATTTATTGATATATAAAATCTGTTAACAAGAACATAAAGATGTTTAAAATAAGTTAAACTCTTTTAAATTAATTTTTTTAAAAAATGATATTTACATTTTATACTATAAGCAGTATTAGCCTTTTGGACTAATATAACTTTTAGATCATTAGGCTATTGGACTAATAGACTTAGCCCATTCCAATTTTATTAAATATTAAATTATTAGACTATATATTTTATTTAACAACTATAAATTTACATATAATTTTAGTAATATGTTTATGATATTTATTAGAATTTTATTAAATTTACTTATTATTACTTAATATAAAATTTGATAAATAATTAGATTTCCCTAAATTTTTAATATAATTATCTAAATATTTCTATTTAGAATCTTAATTTCTAAAAGGATGAGGTAAATTTAAAATGGTTATCATATTAATTTCAAATTTATTATCATCTGAAAATCAAGATCAAATCAGTAGGATTATTCTAGTTGAATGAATTTATTATTGATCATTTAAGCAGAATGATTTTATCATTATAAATTTTTAAATTAGGTTAAAATTATAAATTTGCTAGAATTATAGTATATAGAATTATAATTTGATTAAAATTATATAATTATAGTCCATTTGAATTGAAATTAAACTAGACATCTTTATTAGGTTCAAAGTCCATTAGTCCATCATCAATTACTAATCATTTCTGAAATCAGAGGAATTAAATAGATTTATTAATTTAATATGCAGCTTATTAATCACTTTTTTTTACTATAATTAATTAGCAAAAATTGAAATTTCCAGTTTTTTCATCATATGTAATTCTACTAATAAATTTTATCAAATTTTTTTAAGTCTCTAAATTAAGACAAACATTTAAAAACAAATTTTTTTTTGCTATTTAATAATGAGAAGTTAAAAGGATCTCTTTGTAAAGTTGGTTACTTATTTTGTTAAAGTATTATAACCTTTCAAGTTAATGGGAAACTACGCAAACTGCACAAATAAGTTTGGTCTTCAAAAATATATTTTTATTCAAGATTTTTAGTTTTTAATTAAAATAAAATAAAATAATATTAATTTTAGAGGTTGTTGGTGAATGTTTATAAGTGAATGTGTGATGTGAATAAAAAAAGGGATAAGTCATTGAACATGTAAAATATTATTTGAATATGTAAACTAAAAATTTATCTTTAAAAATAAAATTATTTGTATTTTTTATGTAAATTATATAAAAAAAAGGTTACAATGTTTGTAAACTATCTTAATATTTCTTTAAATTTGATGCTTATAATAACCTTTTTGGCCCTTTTTCAACAATGTACAAATAAACTTCAAACAAATTTAATAATAATATATCTATATTAACGGTTAACTTCTCACGTAAATGACTTTATAAAAGAACCAGTATTGGCAGAAGGATCTCAGTTTAAAGTTCAAAAAATCATAGAAAAGCCTTATATATCGAAATATTTAAGGAAGCGAGATATTATAACGAAATTAGTGCCATTTGAAAGTTCATATGTACTACTTTTAGTATATTGTAAAAAAGTTGTATTTTGTTAAGTCTTTGTCATGTTCGAACTTAATGAAGATAGGCTAATTTACGTAGTACAAAAATTTTTAATTAATGATTGGCGCTGCGCATTTAGCCTTTTTGAAGATCATTTGCCAGGCTGGCCTAAATTTTTTTTTTTTTTTTTTTTATACAAGCCGGAAATTCTTAAACAGCTAAATATTCCACGCTCCCCCTTGTTATATTTCTTTGTATACATTCACTTCAGAGTCCTTCCTTTAACACCTTCGTGATATTTTCTTTCGCCGTTTTAACTTTTTAAATTTCATATATGTAATTTCGTTTATTATTTTATTTTTAATTTCCGATCTTTATTAATAGTTTGTTATACAATTTTTATGTAATAATTTGTGATTGCGCAGTTCTAATTAATTGATAGCATTTACTTAGTTTTAATATTTTGACAAAGCGAAAGTTAGAGCGCCGACGTTGAGGCAACAATGATCAAATTAATAATAAATACATAAACTGAATACAACACTATTAAATAATTACCTCTACAGATCTTAAAATATTTAATCCACGTGCAATATCAAGGGATTTACGTAACTTTAAGATTATGAACAAATCGTTCTTTAAAGTTTGAATAAAATTTACGTAGATTTCCAAAATTCAGCCCATTCTGTTACCAAATACCATCCATCATCACCAGAAATAAGACCTTTGAAATTCTTTAAGAATTGTAATTTGGTCTCGCACACGACTTTGATCATTCACGTCATTGAGTCTGAATGCAAATTCTCGATCGTCATAAACATATCGAGTTATAACCCCATCACCACGTTTCTCATTTGTTTCTTTATAATTAGTCGATTATTTTTGAAAATATTATTGATTTCCCATTGAAAATTTTGTTTTTTCAGGAGTCGTTCCATCGTAGCATGCATTGTGTTGATTTTTAAAACCATCGAGGAAATCTCCTCTCCAAATTCTTTCCCAACTTCTCCTCTAAGGATATCTTCCGGATACTATAAATTATTAAATAATAAATTGATGTCTTGATCAAATCTGTTTGAAATTAATTAAACTTACTGATAATATTTGTTTACCTTCATTAGCACAAATGTTATTTTTAAAAATTTAATACATTTATACAGCCATCAAATTCTTTACATAAATCGTTAAAGTTCTCACAATACTTTTTAGCTTGAATATATTTTCACAAAGTTTTCATTTGCGAGATTTCTGATACAAATTTTCTAATTTGTATTATAACGTGGACTAAATTTTCTATATATAAATAATGTTTTTGATTTGATCCTTTCCTGGAACTTTCGTTTCTTATGCTCTGCAACTTGTACAATTTCAAAGATTTCATTAAAAGCGTTTCCGATTTCAGAAACCAAAGGAAAATATTTTGTAAATGGAACTATTAATGGAGTTGCTTCAACAGCTGCTGTCTCTACCACGACCTTTGAAGAAGTTGTTGATGTTTTGTAAGTAAATCCCGTTAAGTCAAGGCCGTTAAGTTGGAAACTTTTAAGATATTTCCGATTGTTCACTATTACTTGTAATTGGATTACTTTGAACTTCTTTTAATAATTGATTGCTTTTTTAACGTCATCACCATAATGGATTGTAATTTAGTAACTTGTTTAGAGGTTGAACGTTTATCCGGTTCATTGTCCCAACATACTAATAATTAAATTAATAATTTCAAAAAAAAAAATTTAAAATTAAAAAATCAGAATGGATTAAAACCTTATACAGATTGCAATATTCCGTAAGTGTACCTTCTACATCATCTTCTCGAAGACCTGTCATAACATAATTTTTACTGCCAACTCTACATCACTATTCTCAAATGGAGGCCGTCCACCAAAATCAATTGCAATTTGATATGCTAATTGATATTTGTCATCCCATTTTTAAATTTACTGAAATGATAATTCAAATAGTCTTTAAGCAAGCCTCCATGCATATTCCATTACTATCAAATATTTTTTATTTTGTGAAAGCGGGTTATCTAGCAAATAATAATAACGTAAATTATCCAAATTATCATTAGACAAATTAATAAATAACGGATTTACTAATACCATATTGATTGTAATTCCAAGGAAACGTATAATATTTTCATGATAATAATTAACAGTGCGTAACAAATTAATCTAATTAAAGAGTTCAAGCAAATGATTATTACTGCAAACAGATAATTACCTCTTTGATGACGTTACCAACAGACACATTTTTATTTTCAAATGCTTTCAAAGCTAAAACGTTTCCATCACTTCTCCAAAACCACCAATACCAATCTTTTCAACATTTATAAATTGATCATATTTATAATATTTTATGTGTCCTTTTTCAATTGCTTCATCAAGCCAAATAATCCATTCACATTTTGTCATTTAGGCTAGTATAAAAAAAAAAAAAAAATCACAAAACGGAAATGGCGTCATTTTATGATTCATTTATGCAAATCAGTTGAAAATTATTTTTTTTTGTCATACCAAAAAATCCCCGACTCGATAAATAATTTAATTTTTTATATAATTCTTTTAATTGTAATGTTTAAACTAATATTGATTATATTTGAGCTTCTTTTTTTTTTGCAAATGTTGGAAGTATATGTTTGAAATATGTCTGCGTCTTATGTAATCCGTCGATATATACAGTATATACCGAAATGAGAAAACTTTATCACGAAGGTGCATTGAAAGGATTGAAAAAATGCATGGACTACGATACGCTTTGCAAGAAAATCTTTTTTTAATAGATATTTGTCGTTTTGGCCGGTTTATTAGCCCCGGAGCGTAGCGAAGGACTATATAATACTATGAATATTGATTCAAAATGTCTGAATCCCCCCCGCTCAATAATTTGAGTTGATGCTGATTGGCTTTTGTAATTGTACAAAGTCTAGATAAAGAAAATACCAGTATGAATTTTTTTAGATAAAATCGTTCCGGACTTAACAACGGTTTCCGTTTCCCAGTATTATAATATTATAAGCTTCGATACATACATACGATACAATTAGTGAAGGTAGAGTAGTGCGGGTCGGGTCGGTTTTGAAGCATCGAACCCGTTAATAATTACAAAACCCGAATTCGACTCGACCCGATTATTGTTTAACTCGAATTTTTAAGGGTAATACTAATGCCGAACATACAACTATTTATTATATACAGATAATAAAAAAGTGTCATAGCAATTTGAAAAAAATTTAAAGTTTATTTTATGTTTATTTTACATCTTTTTTCACCAGGATTAACAGGCGGCGCGAATTAAAATCACATCTTTTGGTTGATATTAGACTAGTTCCGCCAGAAAAAAAAACTCGTTCTAATGGAACATTTGTTGCTTTATTAAAAAAAAAAATGTATTAATTAATGTTTAATAATCGACAATTTTTTTTTTTTTTTTTACACCTGATAATCTCTAGCCATTATGGCTAAACATGGATATTCGGTACATAATTTAATTGAATTAATTAATACATTAAATAAATTAACATTTTTATTTTTACAAAAATTATGATTTATAATTACATCATATTCATCATTAATATTTTCAACTTCTATATCAGTAATAGCTGGTATATGGTCGGCGTTATAAAAATCAAAGAACTACATCTTTGGCATAACGAATAATGCCTTGTCTCCATATTTTATCTTTATAACAACCAAGCTTTAACCAAGTACTATATGAACCTTTTCAACAGAAGGGGGGAAACAGCCGGAAAAAATCAATTTTACTTTAAATGCCAAACATGATTTTAGGTCAAATATGTTCAGATTTAGTATTAACTCATTTTTTATTTTTTTCCAGCCATTTCCCCCTTTTCTATTGCAAAGGTCCCATATATTATAATTCACTCTATTTTTAATATTAAAAAAAGTTTACATATATCATCAAACATATGTACTGTGCAGATTGTGTTAGAAAAATTCAAAAAAAAATATATATATATTTATTTATTTATTTAACCACCTTCACCTGATAGATACATTTTGTAATAAATTTTATAAATAATTCTATAAATTTATTTGTCCGGAGCGAAGCGAAGGAAAATATATGTCTATGAAATTTTTCGGTCTCGTGATTATTGCGTTTCTCTGTCAGCCACGTGATATTCAACAAATGAAATCTCCGCTTTGGAAAGTGTCAAGATCGCTCCGGACTCAACAACGGTTCCCGTTTCCTAGTTGTCCTGAACGAAGCGAATGACTATATATATCTGTGCATTGAGAAATTTTTGGTCATGTGAGAGTTTCTCTGTCCGCCACGTGATTTTCGTCCAATAATTCGCTCAGTACTCACAACGGTCACCGTTTCCTAGTATAATGAACGAGAGACCCGGCTAGATTTATCAAATGTTTCTTACTATAATTGGTAATTTTTTATCGGAATAAAATCGGAATTTTTCCCGTTATCGTGATAAAAATTTGTGATTTGATATCGGAATAATTCCGGGTCTCTGAATGTACGAAGGGAACAAGGTAAGTCTACGCAATGTGGTCACATGAGTTTCTCTTATGCGATTATTGAGCTCTGGACTTATAATGGTTCCCATTTTCTTGTGTAATAATAATTGCATACATACAATTAACAAAATTATTATTGCGCCTTCTTAATCTCTTTATTTCTCCATTTCCATTTTGGATGTTATCGTTTAATAAAATATCGTAATTTTAATAATATATATATATTTAAGTTATAAAAACCGGATCAAGGACTGGGCTTATGAATCGGTCCAGAATAAATTTAGGACCATGACCGACTCAAGACCGGTCTTAGGACCGGTCCAAGGGCAGACTTATGGAACGGTCCGGTCCAAAGAAAGATGATAAGACCGGTCCGTTTGGACCGACCGATCCAACCCTACTCCGGAGTTGTCGATCAATTATGCTGTGAGTCACGTGGTAGTAAATCCGCAGGTTTATATATTGGTGTGAACGAGCAGGTCATGCTAACGCATAATCTTTTCCAAAATTTCCGAATCTTCCGGCAAAATTTTTTAAATCTGGAAATTTTTCGGATAAGTAAACTTCCGATTAATATCAGAATTGAACCTGTAATAAAAAAATATATAGTTGAACTTTTTTGGGACTTCAAGTTTTAAAACCGGATTCAACCTATTTAGGTCATGCGCATTCAACTCGGCTGGTTCGAACTAAATTAATTGGTTAATAGTGTTTTTTTGTTGTTTACACAAATGTGCAGGTTCACTCAACGTACATTACATATATATATGCATACAAGCCCTTAAAATATGACCTTCCAATTATAGATAATAATAATTTGATACTCTTTGATTATATTAAAATAAATTAACATTGTCGATCAATCTGGTATCACCATATCACCAAACTTTCGTTAAATAAAGAAAATCAAACAATTAATGAAATAAATTTTTGTCATTTATTGTTCAATTTAATCTTTACTAAATAAAATATACATAATAAATATGTAAAGAAGGAGAAAATATTATAATGAGAGTAAAATGAAGTAATTTCGTGAAATTTTTTCCCTTCCCTACTTTCATTTTTTTTTTATTTTTTTTTTTAATCTGATTCAAAATCCCTAAGATAATCTAAAACTTCATAATTTTTTAAGACACCTACGTCCAAGAATTTATTCTTGACCCGTTCCAATTTTTCCGATAGCTCATAAACATCTTCGGATATGCTTAAAGACAAAGGTCGTCTTGATCTCCAAGATTCCAAAAACCATTCCAAATAACAAGATTTTAATCCACAATTCCCAACAATTTTAATATCACATAAAGAACTCGGAGCAAACCTTCTAACCAAGTTAAATAAATCAAAGCCACTTGAATTCATCGATAGCGCATTGAAGATAATTCCTCTTAATTTATTACAAGATCTAATTAATTCTTCTAATCCAAAAGAACTATTCCCATTACCTTCGTAAAAAAATGTTGAAACATAATAAAGGTTTGGACAATGGTTTGAAATAGTCATATGATAGGGTTCGATTTGCTGAGTAGCATCCTCCGGTATGTAAGAACCAAGAAAGATGTGGGTAAGATTCCCAATGGTACTTGATATCAATCTCGTCAAGATGTTTAATCGAGGAAGTTCAATGTCGGCTGATAAAAATTCTAAATTTGGTAATATGGTATACTCCAAGGCGTGTAGGTCTTTTGGATCACAAATATCCTCAATATATCCGATTTTCAATCTCTTCAAATTGATAAATGAAGAGAAGAATTCGATTGGAATACATTTACCTTCAAATATTTCCAATTCAAGTAGTGAAGTTGATTGATATTTTGATAAAGCTTTCCCAAATTCATGCAAATTATCATAAGCTTCACAACGTAAAGATTTTAAAGAATTTTGTAATTCGATCAATGACGTTAATCCCAAGTTGTCAGCTCCACAAATAACATCCAACTTTTCGATATTTCGACAATGTCTCGCCAGTCCAAAGTAGAATAGAGCGTCGTCACAGTCGCATTGCAATTCTACCAATTGTGATAAAGAATCGTCAGCCCAAAGGCAATTTGATAACGGATAAGGTGCTTCAATTCCCAACATAATTATCTTTTTAATTGAACGACTTTTTGATAATATCATCTTTAAAATTTCTTGATTGACGAGAACTTTATGATCCTCACTTGAAAATTGATGGCCAATAATTGTACTTAATTTTTTAAGGTCAAGACTTCTACCATATTTTGGGTATTGAAATAAAGCTTCATTAAAAAAATCCTCTCGCTTTGATAAATCGAATGGATGAATATTACATTCGTAAAAAAATCGTTTGATATCTTTTTCTAAGCATGAAAATAG